CTCGCTCTAAATGTAACCGTCTTTGTAAATTAGCATTAAGGCACAAAATAAATCGAGAAGCATCAGATCATTATGGTGTGATGAATGGCAGACCAATTGCTCCAACAACTAGAGAAAAAAATACTGAGATATCAGATATTATAGATCTATACAATTACTAATCACGCTTCTTTGCTTTCACCACTTTCACAGTAAAATCTTTATCATCATTAGACGATTCAAACTCAGACCCAGATTCAGATGTGGATGAGGACTCAGATGCGGTATCGTTAAAAATTGGTTTTTTTCTAGCTTTGCATGGAATATGTTGCCGAGAAATATCTGGGTTTGCTATCGCATTTATAATATCATTAGATTCCATGATAAAATTATCTATCACGTGCGTAGCACTATGTCAACATAATTCTAGTTATTAGAATACATTTTCAGATGGCCGAGGCCTTTTTTCTCACTAAAAGATAAAAATGTTCCCCCCAGCTTTCTTTCAAGTCTATGATTACCTGCCGAAAAAAAATTATGAAATTATTTTTGAGGGGGCGTCCGAACTCGTCAAACCTTCTGCGTTAAAACTTCAGCCATTACATATTTGGTTTCATCTATAGTTAGATTTAAGACGTATAATGGGGGATAGATCTAATCCGGGCTATTTTTAACTTAAGTCAAAGACGCTGGTTGCATGCACACATCATACATGTATCACCTTAGTGTCTTAGGAAAAATTAATCACGTGCGTTCCGTTTCGGAACAAGAGCACACATTAACGTTGAAGGGAGAGCAAACTTTGTTTGTTATTTTTTTCTAATGATTGACAAAGCGCCAAAGCGTCAAAGTGCATTAAAGAACTTTCACATCATAAATCAGATAGGCTTGTCTGTAAATACATCATATTCAAGTGCCAATATTTTTACTATATCCCAACTAATGAACTACGATAATCTTATTTTTTCCTTTTTCGTTTTCTGTGGTGATCGGTACTCCTGTGATCGGACATTCACTAACACTTTTCCACTAGCGAATTTTTCATTAAAAGCCCTTTCCTTCATAAGCTTGAAACGGCAAACCGTAAGATTCAACAGTTTCTGCAAACAGCAAGGAAGATGAGTATAAAACTATCATTTAAATACTGGTTTTTGGATTGTTACCAACCTTAACCCGAAGCATAATGCGCGAAACCTTAATGATAGACCCAAGTTCCGAATATGTCGATGGAATATCAAAGTCCGCCAAAATTATTGATGAATAAAATCCACCTCCTATATAAACAACTAGGAAGGCGCGAATAAAAAAACAATGAGATAAGAATCCAGGCATAAGAAGCTTGGTGGTAGCTCTCAATACTTGTTTTGACAGCATTCCTCCGCCTTCAACTGATATAGCTTCAACTAGAGTTCTATGCATATCTCTTAACGTCTTCTGAGCCTTTAAGGTATTCGAAAGGATCTTTCTTTCGTTTTCAATTCTAGAGCCGGTGCGCTCGCAAAGTGAAAATTCGCGACCATACGGCAAATCTTTTGCTAGATCATGTTTCTGTTAATTTAAGTTAGTATTAGTAAGTAATATTAACAATGAACTCTCCAAAATCTAGTGTACCGTAAACATCCAGTCCAAATGATAGCCTTCTGCTGTTTCTGGGGCATCCATTGCTCCAGCTCGACGATCTCGAGAGGCCCTTGATACCATCTCCCCGCTTATTTAAGAACAATTATGTATTATTAACAACATCGAAAATACTTAGAATTGACAGTAGAACTTACAAGTGACTGTCTAGAATATTGTCAAAACACGAAAATAGGTGCCGTTTGATGAAGACATCTATGTCTCTTTCAGAATTTTTCCGCTGGGGAATTCCTTTCGCAAGCATTTCACATCTGGTTAAAGTTATGGTTAAGGAACTAAGCGGAATACATGCAGAATAATAAATTTTCCGAATTAACATGAATTGAATAACTTACGTAAATCGAATCAGGTCCAAAATAAATTGCACATCAGGGTTCAAGTAGTCTTCTTCCTCGATAGAAGATGTTGGCTTTACTTTATCATTCGTATCTTCATCGTCAAATAAAGAAACGCTCAAGCTTGATGTCTCAACGTTCTTCACCATTTTCTGAATTTCAAGGATAGCTCCATGAAATCCTTCGAGTGCCACTATTTTTCCAACCTTACTGAGGTGATCGTTATCAAGCTGGGATTCAAAACGTACGTTAATAAAATAATTGAAATAATACAAAATCAAATGAAACAAAATATAAAATGCTAAATTATCAACACTGACCTTAGCAAGAGCCTGTAAACATCTCTCAACTGAAGGTTCCAGTGTGGTCCAATCTTCAGTGGGATGGCCTACATTAAGGGCAGATGCAAATACGGCGACCAGATCCGACATGTCCGCTTCAGTCAGAAAATCTGATGTACTTTTTAGATCCGAGGCATCTATTATTCGCCACCAGATCGGGCTAAGAATTAATCAAGAATTAATCAGGATTTGTCGTTACAAAAGATAAAAGTGATTATATACTGTACATAAAAAAAATACTTTAGAATCAAATAGCAAAAAAAAAAATACTTTAGTGACGATTCATATCTGTCAGACGGATCCGTTTGTGAGGTCAAAAACTCTTGTCGTCTTACTACTTTCTCTAGCCAGGTTGGCATTGGTTCATCGAACTCCCAACAGATCGGCTGAGGTTCATCATTGGCAATCTGAACACACATAAGAAGGCTTAAGAAAAAACGCTTTTATTTACTAAACATAAAATGTAATTACCTCAGGCACAGTTAATGGACTGAACTGGCGTTCAGGAGTTCGTTGTTGAGCCTGAGACTGCAAATCAAGTGAGACATCACTTGAAATGGGTTCCTCCTCTTCATTATTTTCATTTGGTTTGATCTTCTTCTGCACCCTCTCCTCTAGACCAAATTCTATGTCTGAATATTTTTTATATCCTCGTCTTGCTATTTGATGAACATCATGTCTTCCCCTTTTCTGTAACAATGAATTCAACAAGGACTGAATAAAGGTACTGTTAAGTATAGGAGGTAAACTTGAATAAGTCACTTACCTGGGCGATTTCCAATTCCAGATCAACCACATCAGCCTCCAAAAGTAAAGATGAGATTTGTTCCTTCTTCTTCCAAATTTTACTATCACTTTTCTGTATGCATAAATGTATGTAAATAGTTAGGCATAACAATGAGATACTGGATAGAGTTCACAGTGCCACGATGCTTGCTCGACAACGTTTCTATGCCCCTACGCTCGGTAATAGCCGTCGGTTTTTGCACTCGGGAAAACCTTTCCAACACTCGGTTGCCGGTTTAGGCATAGAGTACGTCGCGCGTTTTGATAGTCACGCACACGCGGTGCTACCTGTCGGTTTTTGCACTCGGGAAAACCTTCTCAACGCTCGGTTGCCAGATTAACTATCAAGTACGCTGGCACGACAAAATTCGCGAAGTCAAAAAAACTAATACTTTCCTTCAATTCGTCCTGCCAATGACAAACCGTCTTATAAATAGGATGGTTTTCATCATACATCTGCTTCAAGCATCTTAGCTCATCACCCAAGGCTGAGTGAGAAATACGTTTATTAACCTGTGACGAGTCTAGGTTTTTAAGCAAGTAAAAGTCCCAATCTTTTATGCTTCCCCAAGTGTTAGGTTCTCGATCCCAGTAATCTAAATAGCAAAAGGTTTGTTTTCTCATTATTCTGTTAAAAATAGGAAAGTAAAGTAACAGACTTACTTGGGTGTTTCAGCTTTGAACGTTCTTCTTTCGACATATACGACATATCAAGATATTTGCGAACAAGAAAATTTTTAAATATCTGTTACAAAAAATCTGATTACTTTCGTTTTCTGATTTGATTGATAAAGGATAAAAAGCTCGGGCACATAGTAATAACAAAGAAAATGCAACCAGCGGATCACACGGTTACATCATGCATAAAAAGTTCCATGACCTTCCATTGGTATATGCTGATCGAACATCTGTATTACGCAATCGATTTTCAGGCATGTGATTTTATTTCATAGTCATAGTAATAGTAATAATCAATTGATAATGCGTCATTCTATATCGGATAATCGTTATGATCTATTTCGGGATGTACTATGACCAAAGTAAAAGGGTCTACAAGCATATAATTACCTTGAGAACTATTTGTCAATTCACTTGAAGCACCTCCCGAAGTTTGTTTTTGTTGCATCTCTTCGTATAGCAATTGGATTTTTTCAGTAAGGTCATCAAATTTTTGATTAACGTCTTCGGATAGAAGTTTCTGCGCATCTTTTAGTGAAGTAAGAGTGATATCGGTTTCCCGTTTTAAATTGTACAGAGCAAAGCATGCAATTACAATGATTAGGTAAACTGGGAATTTTCCTTCGATAATCCACAATATGACGACAATCAAGATTGGTATAAAAACGAAATAATTTTCTGATGGCGTTTGTTTGAAATATTCTAAGATATTTGTATCCATCTGTAGGGATTAATGTGAGCGCATAAACTCATTAAAAGGGATACTCAATAAAAAACAATCGATACATCAATATAAGTCAGAAACCACTTACTTTGGTATAATAATAACAAATATATGACTAGTTTTTAAAGGAAAATTTTGATGTAGTTTTGATTAATTTATGACGCTTTATTAATTTATTTATTTTTTGATTGATTTAACAGATTTTATTGCTTTGCAGTAACTTTGTAGGTATATTTATTTGAACGTTATAGTTATGAAGTAGAAAAATTATACGAATTCGAATTCGAGCTGTTTTTATGTACATTTCAGAATTTCTCCAGCGCGGATGATCAATTGTTAAGGATACGCGCCATTAAAGTTATCAATAATCATTGGTTTTTCGAATTACACGGTCAGCTCATTAAAAATCTATCTAGTATGGGCGATCCGTTACCTTTGCCGATCATAATTATTTGTGTATTTATTTTGATAGGTAGAATCTAAAACTTTGACATTTCTTATATGACGCACAGGCCCTCATTCGATGTCAAAAAATAAGCTTAATCATTTTTATACAACAACAATTCATACCTCTTATTTATTCGTAAAACAGAGAAGATCCAGTGATCACATAATATTACACGACATTAGATATTTTTTCTTGCCAAAGTGATCGGCGTAAAGATTCTTTATGCACACGTGATTTTGATGAAAAATAAAGCATGGGCATCCACACAATTCGACCGAGACAAATGGTTACATAGAACCTTACTTTATTGAATATATAAAAAATGTTACAGAAATAACAACATAAAAAGAAAAAAAAAACATATCGCAGTTACATACTGCAGACGTAAATAAAAAAATAATTATTATGTGTCAGAGACACTAGCTCCGCTATTCCTTTGGTTTTATGAGAAGGTTAACTTGATTTAGGTTGGTGACTGGAGTAGCATTGAAATATTCAGAAACCTCGGCTGTCAATTCCATAGGAATAATTGCGTAGAGATTGAAATTAATAGAAAGCTCTTGGTGACCTTGATTTACCAACAGACCTTCAATCCTTTTTTAAGTGTGGCAACCTTATCTTCCTTACATATTTCAATATTAAAATATTTACCATCTGGAAAACAACACTTGAGACTAATAGGATTGG